TGCAGGTGAGGTGCCAGAAGACCGGAGGTTGGCTAACGTGGCGCAACTATTTAAGAAAGGTGCTAAGGAAAAACCAGGGAACTATAGACCGTTGGCCCTGATGTCAGTGGTAGGCAGGTTGTTGGAGGGAATCCTGAGGGACATGATTTACATGTATTTGGAAAGGCGAAGACTGATTAGGGACAGTCAACATGGCTTTGTGCGTGGGAAAACACATCTCACTAATTTGATTGAGTTTTTTGAGGAAGTAATGAAGAGGATTGATGAAGGCAGAGTGGTGGACGTGACCTTTATGGATTTCAGTAAGGCTTTCACCAAGATTCCTCATGGTAGACTGGTTAGCAAGGTTAAATCACATGGAATACAGGGAGAACTAACCATTTGGATACAGAACTGGCTCGAAGGTAGAAGACAGAGGGTGGTGAGGGAGGGTTGCTTTTCAGACTGGAGGCCTGTGACCATTGATGTGCCACAAGGATCAGTGCTGGATCCATTGCTTTTCATCATTTATGTAAATGATTTGGATGTGAATATAGGATGTATAGTTAGTAAGTTTGCAGATGACAGTGAAATTGGAGGTGTAGTGAACAGCAAAGAAGTTTACCTCCGAGTACAACGGAATCTTGATCAGATGGGCCAATGGGCCAAGGAGTGGCAGATGGAATTTAATTTACATAAATGTGAGGTGTTGCATTTTGGAAAAGCAAATCTGGACAGGACTTATACACTTAATGGTAAGGTCCTGGGGAGTGTTGACCTTGAGGTGCAGGTTCATAGTTCCTTAAAAGTGGCATCGCATATAGATAGGATAGTGAAGATGGTGTTTGGTATGCTTGCCTTTATTGGTCAATGCATTGAGTATGGGAGTTGGGAGGTCATGTTACAGCTGTACAGGACATTGGTTAGGCCACTTTTGGAATACTGTGTTCAGTTCTGGTCTCCCTGCTATGGGAAGGATGGTGTGAAACTTGAAAGGGTTCAGAAAAGATTTACAAGGATGTTGCCAGCATTGGACGGTTTGAACTATAGGGAGAGGCTGAATAGGTTGGGGCTATATTCCCTGGAGCCTCGGAGGCTAAGGGGTGACCTTATAGAGGTTTATAGAGGATGGGAGAGTCCAAAATTAGAGGTCATAGGTTTAAGGTGAGAGGGGTAAGATTTAAAAGGGATCTAAGGGGAAACTTTGTCATGCAGAGGATGGTGCTTGTATGGAATGAGCTGCCAGAAGAAGTGATGGAGGCTGGTACAATTAGAACGTTTAAAAGGCATCTGGATGGGTAAATGAATAGGAAGGGTTTAGAGGGATATGGGCTAAATGCCGGCAAATGGGACTAGATTTATCTAGGAAATCTGGTTGGCACAGACAAGTTGGACTGAAGGGTCTGTTTCCATGCCATACATCTCTATGACTGTGACCCTAAATGGGCGTGGAGGCGAAGGCGATAGAAGAATCATGTCTAAAATTCATTGAGATGGGGACGAAGAAGGATAAAACTAAGACCTTTGCTGTGTACAGAATGTACAGCATCAGAGACTGGAAGGTATAGCAAATACATGACAGGAGGTGAGGTTAGGGAAGGGGAGGGTAGGTAAATTCCAAAGGGGAGTGATATCTCTAAGTTGTTGCATCTTGTGTTCCTTAATGCCTGAAAGGAAAAGTTCCTTGTTAGAATGTCGAATGAGCTGGAGAATGAAGTGGAAGTGGGGGCCATGGCAGCTCTGAAGCAGCATGAGGTGGTGTTAATGGAGAGGGCGGGTGAGTGTGTGCATATGGCAACACATGGCGCTGAGTGTGGATCTCAGGAATGAGGTGAGAGCAGCTATCTGAAGAAGATTATACCTGTGATCCTGGGTGGATTTAAAACATAGAGGATAAAACTTCAGTTGGAATCCACGTGGGGTGAGCCGGAGGCAGTCACTGAGGAATGTCACATGGTTGTGGAAGCAAGTTTTGGCAAATACCTTGTCAAACACCAGGAACGACAACAAAAGGACACTAGGGAGATAAAATGCAGACTACGCAGCTGCTTTACAGAACACCTACATTCTGATAGCAAAAATAACCTTGAGCTTCCTGTTGCCTGCCACTGTGTTCCCTGGCCAACATGTCTGTCTTGGGCTTGCTACAGTGCTCCAGGAAGCTCAGCACAAGCTGGAAAAACAGCATCTTATTTTATGCTTGTGACCCTACAGCTCAATATTGAGTTCAATAATTTTTGGGACCTTAGCACCTTCTCCCATGTCCTTGCCCCAACCCCCACAACCAGACCTTATCATCACATGGGCTGCTACCGCACACAACCCATATCAGCCACTGATGGTCCTCATTAGCAGCTATTGGTTTTCCCAGGCTAATTTATTACCCAGTCTTTTGTCTGTCCAACTGTGATTCTCTCTCTCGGCTTAATCTCCACTTATCATTTACTCCCCCCACTCCATCTTCAGCATATATACCAATCTGTTCCTAGGTACAATCAGTTCTGAAGAAGGATCATTGAACCTGAAAAGTTAGCTCTGTTCTTCTCTTCACAGACACAGCCACACCTGCTGAGTTGTTCCAGCACTTTCTGTTTTTGTTTCTGATTTCTAGCATCTGTACTTCTTCATTGTTTTTGTGTCTAGAACGAGTTGGCAGTTTATGTGGCATGATGTCCTTCAGTGTATCTTCAATAAGGAGCAGAGTCCTTATCATTTAAAAAAAAACTAATTTAACAATTAGTGCATCTCCTGTGCTGGTTTTGATTTTCCGGATTTATTTCCAGATTGATCCTGGATCTTTTCCTGAGTTTTGATCCTCACAAGATATAACATGGGAGCTGGGAAGACTCTGGCCATACAAGCTAGGCTTCTTACGCCAGCTGATCTTTTTCTTTGAAATATCCAAATGTTTAAATATCGCCCAGCATCTAGATTGAAGCTCATGGTTTTATCATCTGTCTACTAAAGTAAATCAATGTGGCAAGTAGGACTAGAATGAGGCATTGGTCGAGTCTTAACTAGAAAGAGTACACCAATGATCATGCCATCACAAAGTGTGCAAATCCCAATTATGCCAACAAAATAAGCAATTTGTCGACTCAGGACAACTTGAAAGATTCTTGGCGCAAGTCTTGAATTCTCCCTCTTACTACTTCCAAAAAGCAACATTGTATTGCGCAGCTCAAAAATGTTTGCAGCAAATGACTTGCACGTTGCAAAACTCTCGTTTCATTTATCGCTGTCTAGCCTTCAGTTTATAGTTTCAAAGTGAAAAAGATGTGGCCTCTTAAAGATTGGACTTTGCCTAGACCTTTCAGGCTTCCTGGAACATCACAAGCTGCCTTGCAGAGGTCCCTTTACAGTGCCAGAGGCAGATGTTTGCCATATAGCTTAGCTGCAACATTTCACATTTGGGATTGCAACTAAGAAAGATGGTGTCCAAAGGGTAGGAGTAAAACGTGCCTGTACGTAGAGAACCTAGCTGAGTTTTAGGGTTGCTGCAGACGCAGCATGTTCAGTCGGTAGTTCCACCAAATAGAAGTGAGGTTTGGTGTGTGTCCACACTTGTGGTCAGCCAGACACTGGTTATTCAGTTGCTACATCACCCTTGTGTAATCGTTGGAGTATCAGCTGCTGTTTAAGTGACTCCAAACCTGTAAGCTGGCAGTTAAGACATATCAATTACAATTTTCCATTTCCAGTTGGTCGACCAGCTGACAACAAACTAGAAACCTGTTGATCATTTGTAGCAAACTCTGTGATCACAGCAGGAGGAGAGAATGGTGACTGACCAGCCAGCTGAGTTCAGAAGGACCTGGATGACTAAATCTGTCACTTTGAGCCAAGGTTCATAAAACTTGACTGCAGTTAACTCTCCTTGCTAAATGTTAAACAAGAAATCGAATAATGCAGTCTCCTAGTAAGTTGCGTTTTTGAGCTGATTAAATTTCATTTCTAAACTTGTGCGTATTTATGGTCCAAAAGCCTTGGTTCTCACCAATCCTTGTCTAGTTGAGAGGGAATTTGTTTGGGTAAAGCATATCTCCAAGTTGTCTATTCCATTTGGTTAGGCAACACATAAGAATGGTGATGGTCTTCCCATGTGTGTCAACAGCCAACTGCCAACTAATCAAAAAAAAACAAAGGCCAGTTTATGAGTGGACTTAATGGGACTGAAGCATCAGTGTTGTTTCAGGAGCCAAATAGATGAAAATTGGTACAACTGACTAGCAATAAATGTTGGGTCAGATGTAACTGTGTCAAAGACAGATGTTTGAAAAGCTGATTCAGAGAGCTATGGCTACCAATTTCAGAGATTTCCCATCATCAGATGTGCAACTCTCGAGCTGTACACCAATGGCATGTCACTTCACAAAATGTCTGTCTCTGAGGAAGCTGTCCTGAAAGTACTGGAAACCAGTGTTTTTTTAAAATAAAATCAGGATATGGGAAATAACTGGTAGGGCCAACTTTTATTGTCAAAGCCCAGGTTTACTTGAAGGTGGCAGTGGAAGCATCTTCCTGAACTGTTGCAGTCCATGTGGTTTAAGTAGACCCAGAGGATGTTACAGATGGAGTTCCCGGCTCTGATCCAGACCAGTGAAGGAACAGCGATATATTTCCAAGTCAGGATGGTGTGAGGCTTGGAGAGGAATTTGCTTGTTCCCAAGTACCTAGTTGCCTTTGTCCTTCAAGACGGTAGAAGTCACAGGTTTGGAAGGTGCTGATGAGGGAGCCTTAGCAAGCTGCAGTAGTGCATCTTGTAGATGGTGTATCGGCGGTGGGAGGATGTGGAAGAAAAACAGGGCTTCAATTTGTAATTTAAGGAGTTGAGGAGGTGTGTGGTCTTGGGAGTGCAACATTTCTTCCCATTTTTCCACTGAAATCAACAACCTCCCACTGGGTATAGTATGGGTAATGGGCAGAGTAATGTGCTCCCACACATCAGGAGAGCATTAATCTTCACAAGCCTGGAAATAATATTGATTTATCACAAAAAAAACATGAAATGCTCAATCAAGTCTAGACCAAGGTTTTTATTGCAGGATACAGATTGACTCATCTACATCAGTGGGTCTATTCCAGCAATGCCTATATACAACAGGAAAGCCCCTAGCCCCCCTCCCACCAAGATTTAATTTACAACGCCTGTGAAGAAATGTACATGTCTATAAAGGCAAATCAGAAAACCCCTTAAAATAAATACTGTGTTCCACATACATCACTGAATATAAAGTGCCCGCACATCAGAGCTACCATACTGCTAGGTTTAATTTCCCAACACGCACTCCGTTCTTGCTAAAATATTTCAGCAGCTGAGAGAAAGGAGCTGAGCAGAATGAGTGACATAACAAGACCTGGAAGTGTTCAGTCAGTCAGTGTTGACCACAAGCAAGGCCATTCCCAAAATACTTATGAGGGATTACTCCAATCTCACCCAGGGCAAGTGGTTTCTTGCTACTTGAAGCATGAACTGGTCACAGTGCTGCAAGGCTGGGTTTATTTCACATGTGGAAGAGCTGCCAACGTCCTCAATGGGGGCAGGTTCAACAGAAGTTACAGTGATTGGGGCGTGTGGCACGGAGGTAATCTCACTAAATATTTGCTCAGCCTCTCTCTCAGCAATTCTGCCCTCCCCCCTGCCAAACCCTCACCCCTCTCAAGTGTGCACTGACAAAAGAAGCTGTCCATTTTGCTTTCTTTTGTTTCTGAGATGAGGGCTGGCAAGAAGGGAATTGTTTTAGAAAAAGGAAAGAAAATGAAGAGAAAAGTTTCAATGCACTTCAGGCTGTGTTGTTAGAAAACACTGTGCAGCAGTCCCACGCTTCAGAGGAGTGAATCATCTGTGCAGCCTCCCTCCAGCCCATATCGGAACTCCTGCAGGTTGGAAACCCCGTGGAAGTGAACAAAAGCTGCGACTACCACCAGGACGTGGAATAGCTGGTGTGACTGGAACTGGGTAGAGAAAAGAAAAAGCTCTGGTTAGTGAGAGCCTGCTTCAGCCTGGTGATGCACAGATTGTTTGCAGCCTGCTCAGAAACAATAGAGAAAAGTGTTTGCACTTCTTCAGGACCTCAACAAGTGCACAAGCCAATGAAGCACTTGTCTAAGAATGCAGAAAACATGACACCCAATTAGCGCACAGCAAGTTGATATTGAGCAGATCTTGTATTTTTTTAATGCATGATTTGAGGGCAGGTATTGGCCAGGATGCTGGGAGGAATGAATGCAATATACTGCAGTAGCTGGACAGAAGAGAGAAAATGCTGCAAATACTCAGCAGCAACATCCCCTCTCATTTTCTTCACTCCTGTGCAGACCTCTGAGGTCTGTGCACAGTAGTGGCTTCTCGAAACAGCAGTTATGCAGTGGCATGGTGATTGAAATGTATGGGGCTTCCCAGCAGCTGTGTGGTCAGGCAGCTCAGGAGAAAATGTCGCTCAGGAGCTTCAGAGAGAGCAACCTAGTGAATGTTTTAAATCTGTTCTGAAGCTTGAAATGCTAACAACGTACCTATTGAATCAAAGATCAAAAAATACTAGCTCGATTGTAAACAAGGTACAAGACTTGCTGTTTGTCCCTCTGAAATAATCCATAACGTAGCAGGGGAGTAGGAGAGGGGTATCTTGAGCATAGCAGGAGTTGCTGAACAAGGCCAGGCCAGCTCCAGTAACAGAGGGTGATAAATAGCTCAAGAGTTGATTTGTACATTACCCATATATCACATTTGCCAGGGAAGAATCGTTCTGGAATCCGAGCAGCGTATAACCCAGCTCCGGTGATATACATCGCAGCCATCAGGAAGAACCAGCCCATCTGTCCAACAGTTGTCGCTTTGACAAACCCCTCAGCGATAGTGAAATGTAGAGTGGGGACAATTCCACTCAGGCCAAGTCCAAGGAACACACCTGCATAAAGAAATGGAAGAGTGAATAGAAACTACACAGCTCACACACCATTAGGCACAATCTGCACACAATCACTGGGCCACTAGGTGCCCGGACTGCCTGGATTATACTCCTAGGCACCCGCACTGTCAGACAACAACAAATTTCTGTGTAGTATTTTTACTATAGTAAAATTTGCCAAGGTACTTCACAGGAGTGACCAGTGGGCAGCAACTAGATGATTTCTTATAGCAGATTCCCAAGTTTGGTGGTTGAAATGAAGGACAGTCTTACAGGAGTGAGAGTAGTAGATGGGGATTTCCAGAGTTTAGGCCTAGACTGATGAAAGCACAAGTGCCAAAGGCAAAATGATTAAATTCAAAAGATGCCTAAAAAGCCAAAATTGGAGGAGTGCAGAAATTCCAGAGAGGTAGAGATCTGGATGAATCTTCCCCAAACTCCTCCTGTGGGCCCTTGTCTTTCCCTGTACTTCTCCTTTCCAATCCCTGCTCTCTGTCCCGGAGCAGTGAGGGAGCAAAGGGAATGCAGAGAAATGGCCAAGGTGACGTAGGAAAAACCACAGCAGAGCTGGGTTTTCCTTTACTGTTTTTGTTTGTTTATCGCTGTCCGTTACAAAAGTTCTGAAAAGAGATAGGAAAGCAAATCAGGTGAGAGCAATTCCTACCAGCCAGAAAATAGTGCCTGTGCTGTCTGTCTGCACTATCAGTGAACATTAATGTACACTAGGATACACACAGGGAAGGTCTGGATGAGTTTAAGTTTAGAAGTATGAAAGATGGGAGACTGATCCAGATAGATCAAAGGGAGGTTGCAATGACAGGAATGAGCAGTATGGATGTGGTAATAAGAAGCCTTCATGATGGTATGGATACATGGTGAAAAACTCATCTTAGTCTAATGTTACTGCAAGGGTGTAAGCAGGCTGCTCTCCTGCTTTAGCCTCAAAGCTGCCAGAAAGAAGGATGGAGTTGGTGATTCAGGAACAGACATTGTGGTTAGGACCAAAGACCATGACTTTGATCTTTCCGAGACAGAGAGAGATATACAAAGGGTAGAGACAGAGAGGAAGGTATAGAGAGAGATAGGTAGGATAGAGACAGAGAGAGATATACGGAAGACAGAGGAGAGAAATACAGAGGGGTGGACAGAGAGAAAAATATGGAGGGTGGAGACAGACAGAGATACGGAGGATAGAGAGAGAGGGAGAGATACAGTGGTGGAGAAAGAGAAATGGAGGGTTGTGCAATTAACATCCCACCCTGCAGGAGTGGTAAGGAAGTTAACTGAGTGAAGGGAGGTGTCACGGATGAGATAGTCAATGGTTTCCTCTTCCCTCATTTCAACTGTACTGGCCCACATGATACTCACCTGCTCTTGTGAGCCGATGTTTGGGAGTAGCAAATCGATCCCATTGAGCAACAATGATGGCTGATATTCCCAAAGCACAAACAATGCCGAGGTAGATGAGCCGGGGCTGGGGTGAGCAGTAGAAGGAGTAGTATAACCAGGGCACGAAGCTCCCCATGATGAGCAAGGCAATTCCAGAATAGTCCAGTCTGGAAACAAAGAAAGAATAAACATGTGAAAGGTAGAGCACAAGTGGTGGAACTGACATGTCAGTGTGTTAGCGACACACATTAACAACCTTTCATTTGCACAGTGTAGTAAAATGTCCCGAGGTGCTTCATAGCAGTGTTATCAAATAAAACTAGGCTCCAACTCACTAAAGAGATACTAAGGTAAATGACTAAAAGTTTGATTGAAGAGGAAGGCTTTAAGGAACATGTTAAAGCAGAGAGAGGATCAGAGAACTTTAGGAAGAGAATCCAACAGCTTAGGGCTGAGGCTGGCCAATGGCAGAGTGATTAAAATCAGGGACATGACAGATCAAAATTAGAGGATTGAGAAACCGAGGATATAAGTTGCTACAAACTAGATCCCTCATCATCCCTCTTCATGCAGGGTCCAAGTGCCCAGTACTCACTTAGAGAATGTTCTGGAGACTTTCTCGGAGTGACAGTAGACCGTGTGGAAGAGCCAGGAGAAGCTGAGGCAAAGAACAGCTCCCAGGAAGAACATGCCAAAGACCACCTTCTCCTGCAGAGGGGCCATGAAGTACATGTTTGGCCTCAGCAAGGTTAGAATCCCCAGGCACAGGAAGAAGACAAAACCTGCGCAAGAGCTGCAATTAATGAAGGGTTCATCAACCAAGACACCCAATACATTTTAAAGAAAGACATCATCTCACGCAACACCGCCCTCTGGTTAGGAACAGAGTGAAAATGTCCACAAGGAGACCAGTGCTACTTTCGCACACCTGTCCTGTCCCCTCATACACACTTACCCAACACGCATCCTCACACTCTTCCCACTACCCACACCCTCACACACTCTCCCCCTACACACACTCTCCCTCAGGTTTGTCACAGCTGGGAAACATGGTTTAAAGATGTGTTGACAGTTTATCGGTTAATAAGAAAGGAGGTCTCAGAACAAAACCAGGAAGTGACAGAGGGGCTAACAACCCAGGCATAAATTCTGACTCCCCCTTACCCAGCAGATGTGTCCAGATGTTCCCTGTCTCTGTGTGGATCCTGAAGATACTCTTGAAACAGGCTCGGAATGATGGCATAGGCGGTCTATGCCCGTACAGCAGATAATCATTGTCCTTCAGCCAGTCTGGGAGTACATCGTAAGGGATTACTCGCCAACGACCCTCCCAAACCTGAAACACAGGATAACAATTATCACCAGCAACAGTTACCAGCTATACCGTGTATCACTGGCACAGTGCCTGCTCATTTTTAAAGGAGTACTCATTTTCAGATCTCAGGCCAGGTAATCAGACATACCACTGTCAGTAGCACTGTGCCATGGAGACTGTTTTCACAGGCAAACATTAACCTCACAGTCAGCAGGCCATCACCCACTCCATGCCTGGACCAAATTCTGAATTAGATGCGTGAAAGGGTCTAGTGCAGGCAATATGAATGGAGCTGACGTGAAAGCGGGATTAGAGTGTGGTACAATCCTTGGATCAGTGTTTTGGACAACCTTTACAAATGAGGAGTGGAAACTGGGTGGAGCTGGTAGGTAGCTTATAACATTGTCAGTGGTTGATGGTCTGGCATAGGGACAGACACAGGAAATCTTATCTAGTGGAGACTTTGGAGTAACTCTCAACTGAGAGAGAGCCAACTGAAACTGCAAACAGTTAAACGCAAAGAGAATATCTGCAGGGACAGTGCGTTACCCACTCTGTACTCTGATACAGTACATCACTGAGCTGTACCTTGTATACAAACTCCTCCATCTTCTCCATTGCATGATGGGCCTGCAGTGGCAGCGTCAGCACTCGCACCTCTTCTTCCTCTTCCTCCTCAGGCTGTGTTGTCGAGTCAGTTTGGAATTCCATGCCCTACAAAGTAAAAGCAGTATCTTCCACCATCTGATTTTAAATGTGTGACATTCTGCCATTCAGTCCAGCCACGTGCTGCACAGTCCAACACAAACTGTCAACTATTGGCTTCCTTCACTGCCTTTCTGTTATTCTCTCTCGTACACACAAGCCTTGCTGGGAAATGTACCATTACTCAGACACAACCCTCTATCACCACACATGAATGTAACGGACTGCAAAGCATAGGCTTTCAGACAGCGTCGTAGAGTACAGCACGGAAACAGACCCTTCGGTCCAACCAGATCATGTCAACCTTAATCCCAAACTAAACCAGTCCCACCTGCCTGTGTTTATCCCATATCCCTCCAAGCCTTTCCTATTCATTCACCTATCCAAACATCTTTTAAACATTGTAACTGTACCAACATCCACCACTTCCTCTGGAAGTTCATTCCACACATGAACCACTCTCTGTGTGAAAAAATGTCCCTTATCTCTTTTTAAAACCTTTCTCTCTCACCTTAAAAATATGTCCTCTAGTCTTGAAATCCCAACCCGAGGGAAAAGACACCTGCCACTCACTTTATCTATGCCCCTCATGATTTTATAAACTCCTATAAGGTCATCCCTCAACCTCCTACACGCCAGTGAAAAAAGTCCAGCCTATCCAGCCTATCCAGCCTCTCCTAATAACTCAAACCCTCCATTCCCGGCAACACCCTGGTAAATCTTTTTGCGTACCCTTCAGCTCAATAATATTCTTCCTATAACAGGGTGACCAAGACTGGACACAGTACTCCAGAAGAGGCCTCACCAATGTCCTGTACAACCTCAACATGGCATCCCAACTCCTCTATTCAAAGGTCTGAGCAATGAAGGCAAGTGTGCTAAAGGATCTCAGATCTGCACAGAGAATTGAGGATAAAAGCAGGGAAGTATTCATGAAGTTGTACAGGTCTTGATGAAGCCAGATGTGGAGCTCAGTGTACAGTTTTTGTGCGTTTATGTGTGAGAAAGGATGGATTGTGCTAGAAGCAGGTTTTTTTTTTTGGAGGCGGGGGAGAAGGGGGGATGATTTCTTGATTCATTTCTGCAATGCAGAGTTTATCTAATGAAGAATGATTTAACTTGTTGGGACTCTATCTCTGTTGGATTCTAGAAGAACGAAAGGTAATCTTATTGAAAATGTGTGAAAATCCTGAAGGGGACTTGAGAGGGTGGATACCAGAAATATGTTTCTTTTTATGAGGAGACTAGAACTGAGGGACAAAGCTGAAAAATAAATCGTCTCTCTTGGAAGGTGGAGATGAGGAGAAATATTACTCTCAGGTGGTTGTTAATCTGTGCAATTCTCATCTCCAGAAAAGCAGTAGAGGCTGGGTCATTGAAGATTCAAGGTTCAATTTGACAGATTTTTGATAAACAAGAGAGTCAAGGATTGTAGGGAAAACAGCAAAGTTTCAGTCAGGATCTAAGCAAATGGGAGAGCAGACTTGGGGGGTTGAATGGCTTTCTCCAGCTCCAACTTCCTATATTCCTAACCTGATCCTAGCCTCTCTACAACAGACTGTTCACATGAATCCCTAAGGACCCCTGGTCGATGTTTCATATCCCTATCCCGTCGCTGCACCAGCTGACACTGCAATCTAGCCTGGTTACCCTGCTCCTGCAGACTCAGTGCTAATGTAGTTCGACAACTGAATCACAAGACCAAGAGAAGTAGTTTCAATGAACTATCTAATGCTTCCAGTTTAAGAACAACTGCACAGCCACAAAAGCCAATTTCTGTTCTAAACGTACCACAAGGTCAGCTCAGAGGACTTCTATCTCACAATCAAATTGTCATATCATCAAGTCTAATTCCTACACAAGGTTGAGACTTTTTTAAAAAATTCCCTTATGGGATATGAGCATCACTGGCTAGACATGCTCACACTTCAGGTCAACGGCAGAGAGTGAAATATTCACCGGGGCCCCCAGATCATTTAAAAATAATGCCACGAGCTCTTTTACGCCCACCTGACAGGGTCTCAGTTAAACAGCCTCTTTAAAAGGGGTCACCTTTAAGCAGTGTCAAACCCTCTGTACTGCCCTTGAGTGGGAGTCTGGATTCTGTGCTAAATTTTAACTAGTGCTGTGATGAGTAGACAGCAAAATCTCAAGAAAAAAAAAGGCTGCTAAAACGAAGAGTGTGAGCTGCTAAGTTAGTGCTGGTTGGGAGGCTCGATATAGAGTGGGAAGGAAAGGTCATGTTCAGCTTTTCTACAGTGCAGATGTCACAGGGCCAACCGCAAAGGCTAGTAAAACCACAATGACTCCTTCCAGCTTGCCGACTTTGCTGAGGCTTCACTATAAAATTGCGAAACTGGGGCCAGATTTTGAAGGTCTCTCATCAACACCTGTAAATGCACTGAACCTGTTTAAACACACCACATTCATTTCAAAGTAGCTGCATGTCCAAACACCGGCTGCTCACAGCCTCCAGATTAGCCTCAACCTTCCTAAATTACCATAAATACTCATGTAAAGATCAATTTCCTGTAAAAGATGACCACATCATTTCTGGCCTTAAACATCCCTAACTCTTCATGGATCCAGTGTAACAGACAACCTGAACTTTTCAAGGGGTCAGAAGCCTGAGGTTGCAAAAAATTTCAAACCAAAATATAAATACTGCAGACAGTAATGATTCTGGTTCATTGTAAATTTATAAATACGTGAAAATGAGTATTCAGAACTAAAATCAAAATATTTATGTGTTTAAATTTTGTTTGTATTTGTTCAAATATTAAAGTGATCAGATAATAAATAATTAAAAGGAATTCTTTCACATTGACAGCTTGTGTTTTAATCCATTACTTATCCAGTGTTTATTCAATTTCACATGGGGCCCCAATCAAGCCCGTCGTTTGTAAAAGTCAACTCCATACCTTTTACCTGAAAAACTGCTCTAAAAATATGATTTTACACAAAATAATAGAAGGTTACACAGCGCAGAATTGAAGGAGAGTCATAACAGACTTGTTTCTCTCACCACAGGATCTGCTAGACCGACTGAGCTTGTTTCAGATTTCTAGCAACAGCAGTATTGTACCTGTGTTCCTACACTGACCCTCCTTTAAAGGAAACCCATGACTGTTCAGTTATAGTTCTGCCTGCCAAACACTGATTCCAACTTAACTGGGTCAGATTTCTTCTCACCCCAAAGAAGCTGGCTCTTCCCCTGTTAATTATTCTCACTCTGAATTTTTTTTTGTCCTTTTCCATGGCCAACCCAGACCCTGTGATACAACAAATCACTATTGTCTAACTACTCCCTCACTTAACATTTTATTCACATGGTCCACCTCATTTCTAAAAACTGACTCTTGCAGTGCTACCTTTCATCGGACTGGAAACATACCCCTGAAGAAAACATTCCTCAACACAGTCCAGAGACTCTTCTCCCTCTGTCCTTTACAATACTACTATCCCAGTCTATATGCAGACAGTTAAAGTCCCTCCTTACAACAACTTGATCATTCTTGCACCTCTCTGTAATTTCCTTGCAACTGTGTTCCTTTTGACTTCAGTGTACACAGTAATCCAATCTCTCCTTCCCTAGATATTACACATTCGCTTTTAAACATAATGGAGAATGTATACTCGGGAAACGGGATCTTGTTAAATGCAAGACTGGCATATGAGGACCTCTGTCCTATAAACTGGAACAAATGTAGGAACACTAACTGAGGCACTGGCCATTGATATCGAAACACATTTTAAATGAATGCCCATCAGGTCCAATCACTGTCCACAGAGTGTCCTCCTGCCAGACAACCTCAAGGAGAACGTTTTCAGTTTTGAAGCATCATTACTGAGCAATCATTTTAAGGGTGCAGTTTAATGTCAGCCTCGGGATGATAATTATAAATCCAGGCAGCTTCGAGCCTATGTTTGGCAATGTCAAAATACTGTGAATACAGCTTTGAAACTCCCTTAGGCCTCCAGTACTCACAGTTGCTGAATCTCCTCCGGCCTGGGAATCAGATTTCTCCTCCAGGAGTTCAGTTAGTTCAACATCATTTCTAGGACCGACACTGTTGGAGTCTCCACACGCTTCACTTGGTGACCTTTGGGCAGGCATGGATGCTGCAGACAGAGCCTTTTCCTTCATAACCTGGAGAAGGCTAAAGCAAAACACAAAACTGACCTAAAAGGGAGAACATAAAGACAGTATTGAAGCCTTGCCACTTCTGCTCCTCCTGCAGACAGTGTACACCCTACTCTAGATGGAGCCTACTCCACCCATTTAATATCCATCCACCCTCACTACTTAAACTAACCCTCCACACACAGCAGCATATTCAGATCCAGGATAATGATGGGGACATTGCTATTTCAGCCACTCAGCGTTAGCACCAATCATTTGCAGGAGGATTAACTCTTTAGGATAAGTAAACACTTACTTCAGGTAGAATCACATTTTGAAGATTGCTCAAGCTCGTTCTCATTTCATTCTGTTCTCTTTCCCCACTTAATCTCTTGCAATCTGCAGCCACATGATACCTCACTGAGACCTCCTTGTTCTTTCAGCTCTGGCCTCTCACTTCCACTTTCCCAGCACAGATGACCGTAGCTATCTGGGCCATTGGCTCCGAGCTCCTCCCTTGTGGAATTTTACTGCCCCCATAAGATTCTCCTGAAAGCCTACATCTTTTACCAAGTTTTTTGGCCACTTTGTCCTCATCTCCTTCCTTGGCTGGGTAGAAATTTTGGCTTGATTATGTGTCTTAGGATATTTCCTGTTGTAACAGGTGATAGAGTGTAAATCGTTGTTGTGAAATAGCAACTTGGTATCAATTTAGAGATTCTCTCTCTCCCACAAATCCACATCTCTCCCTCAACCAATGATTTGTACCTTTATCTCTGTATTCTATTCTCCAACAGTTCATTCAGCTTTATTGATCCCAGAGTCGTTCTGCTGTTTGGCTCCAAACAATTCCCACAGCTCCCCGTTTTCTTAGCCCTGGCAACATTCATCGAAGTACTTAAGTAGGAGTAGTCAAGCCTGCTCCCATTCAATAATGATCAAGGCTGACTTTCAAAATAGGCCAAGGTGTGGCAGATGGTGTTTAATTTAGATAAATGCACTTTGGTAAGACAAACCCGGCCAGGACTTACAAAGTGTTTCGCATACTTGCCTTTATTGATCAATGTATTGAGTATAGGTGTTGGGACGTCATATTGTGGCTGGATAGGAAATTGGTTAGGCCACTTTCAGAACACTGCATTCAATTCTGGGTGTCCTTCTATAGGAAAGATGTTGCTAAACTTGAGAGGATGTAAAAAAGATTTACAAGAATGTTGCCAGGATTGGATCAATAGAGGGTTTGAGTTATAGAAAGAGGCTGAATAGGCTGGGGCATTTTTCCGTGGAGCGTCGGAGGCTGAGGGGTGACCTTATAGAGGTTTATAAAATCATGAAGGGCATGGATAGGGTGAATAGCCAAGATCGTTTCCCTAGGGTGGGGGAGTCGAAAACTAAAGGTTTACGGTGAGAGGGAAAAAATTTAAAAAAGACCTGAGGGGCAAGGGTAGAAGGGTGGTGCATGTATGGAATGAGCTGCTAGAGGAAGTGGTGGAGGTGGGTACATTACAACATTTAAAAGGTTTATGGATAGGAAGGGTGTTAAAGGATATGGGCCAAATGCTGGCAAATGGGACTAGGTCAGATTGGGATGTCTGGTCTGCACGGACAAGTTGAACTGAAGGGTCTGTTTCCGTGCTGTATGACTCTGTGACTCTATAACCCTATTCTCCCAAAGCTCTCAATGTCCCTCGATTCTGAGACCAAAATTCTGTCTTCTGTATTCAGCACAGGAACGTCTATATTCTTCTGGAGTAGAGAATTCCAATGACCTTCAACCCTGTGAGTAAGGAGATCCCTCACCTCATTCCTAAACAAATGGTTACATTTCCAGAGGCTATACCCCCATCGCCATGTTTAAGTTTTCCCAGCCAGTGGATCATTCTCTCAGTCTACACCCTGCCAAGCCCCTCATTATTATTCTCCAAGGAGATCCAGTCAGAATTCCACACAGTGAATAAATATACAATCTCCATACCCAGAATGCCCGCTTCCTTACTCAGTCAAAACTCCCGCTCTCATTCCAACAACATTCGCCCCATTCTCACTTTCAAACTATCCCTGTCTTACTCATGCTCTGTAATCCACATTCACTTTATCTCTATCTCCTGTTCCCTTTATTTCTCTACCATTCTAATCCACACTTACTTTCTCTCCAATCCTCTGCTCCACACTCACTTTCTCTCTAAGGCCCGCTCCATCTGTTTCTCTCACTCTCTGCTCCACATTCAGTTCCTATCTAATCGCAGCTCACTCACTCAACTGCTTGCTTGCAAACTAATACCCAGCACTCACTGTGACCCCATGTGCTCTCTCTATTTTTCTGATGCCCTGTTCTCACTCACTCTCACATCCCCTGCTCTCTCTTACTCTGATCACTTGCTCTCTCTCTTCCTGTGATCCCCCGCTGTCTATCTCACTCTCTCTCTAATCCACACTCACTTTCTCTCTAATGCCCTGCTCCATCTATTTCTATCTTTCTCTAATCCACACTCACCATCTATCTAATCACCAGCTCACTTAATCATTCTTATAAAATGCTCACTTGCAAACTAATGCGCAGGACTCAATGTGATCCCATGTTCTTTTTCTCTGAATCCCAGCTTTCTCTCACTCCCTGATTCCCTGCTTGCTCTCTCTCTTCCCCCGATCCCCTGCTCTCCCTCCTTCTTATCCCCTGCTCGCTCTCTCTCTCCCTGACCCCCTGCTTGCTCTCTCTCTGATCCCCTGCTCGCTCTCTCTCTCTCTGATCCCCTGCTCACTCTCCTCTGTCTCTCTCCCGCCCCCTGATCGCTCTCTCTCACCCTGATCCCCTGCTTGGTCCCCCAATCCCCTACTCGTGCTCTCTCTCGCTCTCCCCCGATCC